GAGAGAGAGAGAGAGAGAGAGAGAGAGAGAGAGAGAGAGAGAGAGAGAGAGAGAGAGAGAGAGAGAGAGAGAGAGAGAGAGAGAGTATGTATTGGAATGGTGCTTTTCTTCGATTCTTCTGAGTAATTTCGATATCTGGCGCATTTCACCCTTGCTTTTGGATCGACCTCTCGGACTTTTCCTTTGTTTTTTCCTTAAGAATTGATGTGTGATTTTCTCCCCTTCTCCTCTCCTTCCTCTGTATGAATTGGCAACTTGATTGATTGATCATCTACTATCGGATCAAATATGTTCCCTGACTAGTGGCCGAGGGATTGATGCACGAATGTTCGTCGTTTTGTTTTTCCCGATGTATATTCGAAATCAGATGCATGGATGTTTGGCGTTTTTCTGTCTAAATATGAACTGGATAAGCACGCTAGATGGTTAGATGTCTGTCTCAAGATATGATTATCCATCTTCGGGCTAACGTGCCGGTGCATATAGGTTGTGAGCTGTTGGCCCTTATCCGCCTGACCGACGAACAGATCTTGTGCACGCATGTGTAAGCCTGGCCGATGAGAGTCGTCACTTACACGCGTGTCTGCAAGATCTTTACTCGGTTAGGCTCCCCGAATGTCTGGACTTTCGACCCACACCACAATATGAATATTGAAATCTCCTTTCGCATCACTGACCGCGAATGTCTGAGGGATCGTGAATCCATGGAGTATTGGGAGCATAAGTGTTTGTCTGCACGATCGAGGGCAGAACCTCTGGAATTTGCATACTTAGCAGGAAACGAACACATTTGCTGCTAGGCTGCTAGGCCACGATTACCGAGTGTCCGGCTTCATCCGGCTTCATCCGGCGAACTCGCTCGGAAGAGGAACAACGCGAGCACAGTCTTCGGCTAAGGTCGGCCGCCTCGGACTCCGAAACCTGAGGCGTTAGACGTCGGCAGGTGACCCGCTAGCAAAATAGACAGGACCCCAACCCACGCCTATCCACTTGCAAACGTATCCTTGAAACTTGGCACAAGAGATCTCAGTTCCGACCTGGGACTCCACCCCCACTTCCCTAAAATCCTTGGCAAGCTCAGGGGTTGTCAAGCAGGTAGGCTACGAAGATCGATCTGGCGAACAGAGGGCGGACCCTGTAGTAACTAGGAGTAGATCGACAGGTCGACAGGCCGTCGACATGAACGCGAATCAGGCACAAAACGCTAACGCACAAGAAGGCGGGGCTCCTTTTCCCTGAGTTCGAGCACATGCAACCCTGCCTGATTTGTACCTCTTGATTAACATCCCCACCTGGTTGGGAGGGTATGCGCATCATTGGTTCATCACCTACGCTTGGATAAATCTCCCGACCTTCGAGAGAGACTTCTTACACCGATTTGATTACATACATCCTGAACAAACTTTCTTCATGATTAAAGATTGAGTCCAGAAACCCCTAAAATCCATCATAGAGTATCGCATTAGGTTCTACAGGTTGTTCGTAAAATCCGAAAGAGACAAGAAGGTCGGACGAGATTTGTTCATCGATGGACTTCGCAGCCGTGCAATGCAGGCGAAAATGCGAAAGCAATTTCCCCCATCAATCACACTATGCAACAGATCATGGATAGGGCGAAAGAGATGGAGCGAAAGTTTTCCGCCAGCTTCCTAGAACTTGAAGGAGAAGACCACGCTAAGGAAGGGGATTCCCCAGAATTGGCAAGGCTGAGTGTGCCGAGGTATGGACAAACGTCAATCTAATAGATACGGTAGTCGGAAACTCCCTCCGATAATTCACTAAGGAAGATCGGAGGCGGGCCAACGAGAGGGCATGGGATTACCGATGAAACAACGGATGGTTAGAAAAATGAAAGACTGATGGGAGTGGAATTTAGATGTCAGTACCTCATCCGTTCATGACGTACGATGGGTTAAGTCAACTCACGAGGAAACCGTCGCTCATTTTGTTGTCAGGATTGCAAAGTCGGCTATTGACAAGAACAAATGGTACTGGTCCAATATCAGGGACGATCATGTTAAATTCATTGTCAAAAATTATTAAGTCTGCGCAGCGGATAAAGAGTCGATTCAGCCTTCCCAGTCCATTCTCCCAACGGTAGTCGAGCGGTCATTCCAAAGAGTCACTATGGACATGATAAACATTATCGTTCCCCCTGGCCCGAATAGCTGTAAGTATTCACTCCTTTTTGTTTTTGTGGATCATTTCTCCAAATGGATAGAGGAGTTTCCCTGTAAAACGTAACAACAACGGAAATTATGCGATATGTCAACCGTTTCCTCGGAATTCATCAGGATCATAGGAAATCCTAAAGGACAATGGAGCCGAATTCCGAGGGGAAGTCCCAAGGAGTTTGGTCATGCATGGTGTCTCCATTCGGAACACCGCCCCGGATATGTCCCAATCAAATGGCCTCGTAGAAAACGTCAACCGAGTAATCAAGACCGCCCTCAGGCGGAATATTGCAGTTAGAGGTACGAGGCCTTAGCCCGACATAGTGGATCATATCCTAACCGTTCATCGGGGGATACCCCATGAGTCCACCGGCCTGTTCCCTTTTCAATTACAGACCAATATCTTGGCTTGCGTAGCTTTGCCGAGCCTGAATGACGAAACAACCCTGGGACGACGGTCCACAAGGGCGACAGTCAAGGACAAGGCCCAACGCCATTTGGAACTGATGGAAAAGACCCTCCCTCGGTTAGCCCGGAAAAGACAGCAGATGACCGAAATGGCCCACGGACGGCAGGTTCGGAGCTATGAGGCCTGAACGGGAATGTTGGACCCCGACCCCAGTATAAATTAGAGGACATAGTGCATGTAAGGAAATGTGCTCGCCAGGGTAAGCTAGCGCCACGATTCTTCGGGTGAGTCCATGTAGCCGAGCTCGGTCCAAGTGGGGTGAACATGGTGCGGCTTGCACCAGAGGTCTCAAAGAGCCGATCGGCTTGACGGATCATTTGACACGTGTCCTATCTCCGTCCATTACCCCCTTCTGCGTCGCTCTCACCGTCTACGTCGTCCCCCACTTATGAGGAGGAAAACAACGATCTCGAATACACTGCTTCTCCTTCTCCTCAATATTTGTCTCCGCCTTCTCCCCTATCGCCATGAGCTTTTCGACGAAGCAAGTCATCAGCGAGCATCTGATGAGACCTGGGGGACATATCTCATCTATTCGGCAAGTTCGGCATTCGGGACTGAGCCCCGATCTTCTCCGATTCGTGGCCTGCTTTAGCACGGCAGCGGTACATGCAGCGGCGGACTTTCGATTCGTACGTGTCAGCGATAGAGCGCGCGTGTTGGCCGAGGCGTCGACTTTTCTACGACTGTCTGCACCAAGCGTCAGCCACGTATCGTTGATAGTCGCCTTTACCAATGATTTTCAAGTTACAACACTGCACAAAGGGGCCTACACGGACGTCCTCCGACAGTTGTGGAGCTGGGCGCGGGATCACGACCGCGTGGATCCAACTTTTGGCTCGGCCTGGGGACCAGATTGTCTCTACTAACGACACCGATCTTAGCCAGCTTCGACTTTCCCTTGCCGCGCCGGAGGCCTTCATCCTAGAGCTCTTTCCTTTTGCGCCGCCCCAATGAACCAGCACCGTCTCTCGACCTTCGGGCTCCCATCCAACCTCCCCACCTTGTGGCATTCAACTACTGACACCCCTCTGTCCTTTCGGATTGAGCAGCTGGATATGCCGATCCTCGAGGCTGCCAAGTGGAGGGAGTGGTGGAACACATATGTGGCACTAAGTTTCTGTCTTCTCCGAGTGGTGCTCCACTGGGTCGAACCGAAGTTTTTGTCTTCTCTGAGTGGTGTTCCACTGGATCGAGCCGACAAACAAGGACAAGGAAGACGAAGTCCCAGACGACGAGGTGGAACTGTTGATACTCCAGGCGTGGAGGACAAATATGGAGAGAGAGTTATTGGGGATCTTGTTCGGGAAAGTGAGAAACAACCACCTGGAGCCTATTACGAAAGAAGTGCTGATATTCTTGGCGCAGCTCCTCGACGACCTGCCTCTGGATATCATCTCTCACGGCGATCAACGTCCTACTCCGATCACGCTTACAGACACCTTAGCGCCACATCTGTTGCGGTCTCTGTGCACGGAGATCGACGGGGACAATTGCTATTACCCCTCCTCGGGCCACTACCTGGTCATCGACGTGACCGACCTCACCTTTTGGGACCCGATCATTCGGAGAGGCGAAGAGAGACAAGAGGAGAGCGAAGAAGAAGAAGGAGAAGAAGAAGAGGAGAATTCAAAGACGGAATCTGACCACCCCGATGACAACGAGTCAGAGGGAATTGAGTAAGGAGGAAGTGGGTCGAACGAATCAGACAACCCCAGGGAACGGAGCAAGGAAGAAGATAAAGCCGCAACTCAAGAAAGACGAGAGAGGGCAAAAGGAAAGTGGCCAGTAGAGCAATCGCACAGACCAGCGGTGCTGGTATTGCAATGCGATCCGGTGCGCAATCCCGAGCCGCCGCAGGAGGAACTTGGGAGAGCTCTTAATTGGCACCCTTCCCACCTTCCCTCTTCCATCAACTTCATTCAATCTGCCTCATCGCCACCACCTTCCCGCATGGCACCACTCGCTCCCTCGTAAGTTCCTTTCCCCTCCACGTCCTTCTCTTTAGCATAACATGGCATGAATACAATAATATAGAGTCTATTGTATAATCGCGGGTACTATCCCCGCATGCAAAGAGTATGAAAACTTTCGTGTTGTGATCCCCCGCACTCTCTACACCCTCTACCCTAATTACCTCGCCTCGATCCCCCATCAAGACCATCGTTTCCCCCGCATCCATCACACCATCCACTACACTTGACTCCCCACTGGAGATCGAGAACTTCGTCATTTTCTGTCGCCTCTCCCGCACGCTCACCCTCCCCCTCCCCCGCTTGTAATAAGATTACCCTTCCCCGACAACCTCTAGGTTCGGAATTCATAAATGTCATCTGGATGACTTCCACACTTGTATATCACGGTAAGTCGCACTGGTAAGTTCCACGTCGATCGTCGGTGTTTTCTCTATTTGCAGAATCGACGGATGTTGAGAGAGCAAGCAGAAACTTGCTCAAGATTGGAACCCCCTGGGCGTCATATATGTGACAAATTGTCTTCTGTGATCGAGCAACTTTCTGTGCAAGGCTACTTTGGGGGTTGAATTGGGATGGCGCGTCGAATTGCATGGATACCCTTGCCTTCTTTTTAGAATCGAGGCTGATTTGGTCCCACGGCGGTTAGTAGTTGATTGCGCCTTAGCGAGCGCGAAGGATAACTGTTGTCATAGCTTCTTTCTTGTTCTGCTGTGGGAAATGGAAATTTTGGCCTGATCGTCTCACGGGAAAATCTTTTTGAATTCTTAACTGATGTCGACCCCCCGCGGACTCTCAGAATTTTCTTCTCTCGAAATTTCTTTCTGCAATTAGAATTTAGGCAGAGATTTGGGTGCATCGCAATTTTGCTGCACGACGCTTCTTGCTTGCGCACACTCTGCTGCGTCAGGATCTGTGCTCTGGCTTTTTCGCACCTTAATCTTACGTGTAACTGTAATTTTTTTGGGCAGACGCGATTGCAACTGTGATCCTCTCTTTCTTGATATCTTCGTTGCGCCCCCTCGCACGCATACCTTTTCCCTGTCCTATTGGCCCGAACGATTACATGAATAGATCGATGTGTGGAGTGTGGGTACGTCCCCCACGTCGCAGCTTGGCCATGCAGTCGTAGGCACTTCCTTCCTCCTTTTTCTCTCCCACTCAGACACAATCCCAGGTATCTCGCGCAAACATGCATGCGATAAATTTTGCAAGCGCGATTAGCTCGCTCTCTATGAATTTTGGAGTTAGTGAGGTCGAGAGGATCGGCTAACGAGCAAGAGTCAGAAGGTGAGTAGAGAGTTGGGCGATCCGACGAGTTTGTTCTAGATATGCGGAGTTGACGTGTGGCCGCGACGGACGGTAACACACATGCGAACTTGGCTTGCATGTTCAGGCTAAGCGGGGTGACAACTCTATATGGGTGCGCGGCGACGGACTGCCTGCATCGGGATCGTGTGGAGAGAGAGAGAGAGAGAGAGAGAGAGAGAGAGAG